GTTGCTGTTAAGACCCAGTTGGGGTTCCATGCTGCGAAAGTATGAGTCCTGTAATAATTCATGTTTTTTAAAAATGCTACCACACATTGCCTTCCTGTACAACGCCCTTGCTGTAAGTGAGGACTCCAAAGGTGAAAGACGCTAATGAGAGGCAAAATCAGTTCTGACAGTAGTTTTTAAAAGAAAAACATTGATTGTAACAAGCCCAGTTTGAGGTTCTGTCATAGAGAAACTGCCAGAAGGTTTCTGAAATCCTATATCCCAATCTTGAACCCAGCATTTCATACTTTCATGAGATGTGGTTGGGGGCAAGCTGTCATTCATATATGTGATTGCAGTGGCAGCTGGTTATTTACCTGATCAGATCCTCCCACTCAATTTAGTCCCTTGTGTCTGGAACCCAGAGTGTTGAATCTACACCACATAAGAATAGGACGCAATGGTGGGATGAAAACAGGAGGAATGTTTTTTTATTTTATTCTCAATGCATTTCTTTTGCATTGCCAGGATACCTTCTCCTTTGGAGTGCTGAGGTATCCTGGTGGATATGGTCTCAGGGCACTTTGAGGGTAGGGGTCAGGGATCTTTTGGGGTTTGGATTCATTGATCCCTTGGAAGGAGGAGAATCAGAGATCTTTTGATGGGGTTGTCAGGTGCCCCTTGGGATTGTTTATTATGGAAAAGATTGTGCATAAAAGGTGCATAAACCCCTCAGAACTATCCGCTCTGCCAAGAGTTGTCCGGAAGTATGAAGAACTGATGAGAAATCTTGATGTGTCAAGAACTGCGAAGAAGTGACGAGACCATTTGAGCAGTTTCAAATCAGTCAAGAGCTGACAAAATGTGTTTTTATGAACAAAAATGCTTTTCTCAAAGAGTGTAACCTGCAATATAGAACTTTATTTTTTCCTCCCGTGTGTTTGTGTGCTTATAGAGAGTAGGTGAGTTGGCATGGTAGATGAAGGGGGAAAGGGTGGTGGGTGGAAGTAGGCATCAAGTTCGTCTAGGGGTATGGGAGGCCACAGGATGTACAGAGAGGCTTATGGTTTATGAGGGGCTAAGAGGGATGGTTAGAGGGGTTAGGAGATGGGGCATGTGGTGTGTTTGGGAGTGGGGCGAGAATATGAGGAATGATTTTTATTTCACTCTTTTAGATGGATTTTTGGACACTGTGCAGAAGCACCAAAGTATATTTTCCACCCAGTCCGCCCAAGGAGCTGTCAGCTACCCTTGCTGTTCTCAGTCTCCTTGTCCGAATCTCAAACAAACCCAGCTCCTCCCAACAGGAAATGGGAAGTGCAGAAGGCATTTTTGGAACATTCCTCCCTCTGCACACCCTATCACAGAAAAATTGGGGCCATGATATCCGAATCTCCGAATTGTACTTTGGCTTTGAATTTCTCTATTCTTGAGTAATGTGCCAGCATCTAGTAATAGCAAGTTAAGAGTCATTTATGAACTTGATTAGAATTATCTACGTCTTCTTCTATTCTTAAATGATGTGCCTGAATGTGGCATATCTGTGTCCAATTTGGGAGTTACTTTGGAGTAATTTACACAGGATAATGAAGATGTGGAATTCAATTCCAAAAGATTATTACGAATTGAAGACATTTTTAGAAATATGCTATAAAGTACACATAAATTGCTGTCAATTTCAGGATTCTGATCATCTCAGTTGGGGATTTGATAAATGGATTTCTGTTTTAAAGCAGTGGTTCACAATACAAACCTACTACATCAATTGATAGAAAAGAAAACAGCAATCAAAAAATTTATAAGTTTAACAACTGCTATCATTTGGCTAGTGACCCAGTATGGTTCACAAAACAATGTACCAAAATCATATGTTTTAATATTATGAGATCCACTGTTTGGAGTTGAATTTCCTCTTAGGTTTAGTTTCCTATTTTTAATGCATTGGATAATGTATTTGTGTTAAATCCTTTTGGTGCTATTTTAGTGCATGCGTTAACCAGTGCTAATTAATGTGCTAAAAGTAGCAGAGAAAGTAAATTAAATTATACAATGTGCTACTCTCATCACATTACACTAACACAACCACTGCCAGTAATCGAACTATAACCATCGGTGCTTCATCATTATATTATACAGTTCAAACTGTTCGTTGCACGTGGTTTATTGTGGGATTTTATTGAATCAGTGACTTATTATTACAGACTACCACTGTTTCAGTTACAATTTCCCTGTAATTCCTGCAAAAAAAATATATGATTGGAATTTCACGGATTCTGGGGAGACTGTCAACATTTGAAAAAGGTAATTGGGACACGATTCCTACAACCCCAACTTTCATCAAGGTAGAGTATGTGTATAGACTGAAGCAGATCCCCGCCCAAACCCTGCACACTCAAACTTACCAGGTCCATTGTGAAGATAGGCATTTTCTAGTCAGCTGAAAATTTCCATGGAGTCTGGTCAGCTTGTGGCCACTGGTCCTTTGGAGATGTCTTGGACTTTGGATGAGAGAATCTTTTGAAAGGTGAATAAAAAGGTCTTATTCTCCACCCTCCTCCGTGGTCTCTCACACCTTCCATGCCGATCTGTGACCCTGTACCTAACCCCTAGTCCTTCGTATCCTGCATGAAAAGCTAAACCCCTCCCACCACCACCACCTCACATGGCTTTATGCAGCCTCCATGCCAGCCTATGGAATTTCCATGCCCAAGCATCCAGTATAATTCTGTGCAGAACCAGTGATCCCTTTTTAACAATATCCTGTGGGTGCAACTGTATCAACGTACTAATGCATGCTTAGGTTTTCAGTTCTGCAATTGATACTATAAAGGCCTGGTTAATTGTTTTTACCACAGCCCTATAAAGGCATTAAGTTTTTGTTTTAAAAGTTGTGCATAAATGGCTTTCCTTAAAGCTTTTTCACACATGAAATTGTTACTACAAAGTTCACTATTTCTTTGGAGATTATATACTGTGTGACTGGACATGGAAATGTCAAAGGTTGGCGTAGAGAATATGAAAGGCTGGTTGGCAGCGAGAGGTTTGATCAGGGAGCAGGGGAGAAAGGGGAGTGTGTGTGTGTGGAATGGGGGGCTAGAGATGAATTTTCTGTTTTACTTCTTTTTTGCAATTCAGGTGACAGCGCACTGAGGCTGGCATTTTAAATAGCCTAACTCTGCATGTCTCGAGATAGTAAGAACTGCCGATGCTGGAGTCTGAGATAACACAGTGTGGAGCTGGAGGAACACAGCAAGCCAGACAGCATCAGAGGAGCAGGAAAGCTGACATTTCGGGTCGGGACCCTTCTACAGAAAAGGGTCTGAGGAATGGTCCTTGACCCGAAACGTCAGCTTTCCTGCTCCTCTGATGCTGCCTGGCCTGTAGTGTTCCTCCAGCTCCACACTGTTATCTCTGCACATTTCAAATCTGTTTCCCTGGGTGCCAGGCCCAATTCCATCACACACACACCCACCCACACCCACACCCACTCTCTCTCACACACACACATACCCACTCACACGCGCGCGCACACACACACACATACCCACTCACACGCGCGCACACACACACACACACACACACACATACCCACTCTCACACACACACACACACATACCCACTCTCACACACACACACACACATACCCACTCTCACACACACACACACACACACACTCCTGCCTGGATTTGTCCTGACTCCTGCTACACACTTTTAAAATGAAAAATAGCCTTCATTCTCTTTCCATTAATACCACTTGTGACATATTGAACAACATCTGACTGGGATTTCAGTAGTCTTTAATGTTAGGAAGTGAGATTTTCATATTATGCCCGCTTGAACAGTAGGAAAATGCCCAGCTGTACATCCTTAGACTTAGATATTTTAAAATTTGTCTGTGTTTTGAGCAAACTTTTTAAGCATCTTGATATCATTTGATGCAGCTTTGCCAACTGATGGGAGCAGTTTGAAGGGTTGCATTAAGTGTAACATACCAAGAAATAAACTGTAGAACATGTAAGTAGATTGGTTAAATATGATTTTTGCTGTATGGTATTGGTCTGAATAAATTAAATATCTTCAGTGATAAAATTGTAACCTAAAAAATATTAAAATGCAGGGCAGTATATTAACCAAGCTTTCTCTCACAGCACCTTCCAAACCCACAACCTCTATAACTGAGAAGGACAGGGGCAGGTGTATGGGAACACCACCACCATCTGGTTCTATTCCAAATAACCCAGCATCTGAGCTTGGAAATTTATTGCCCTTCCTTCATCTTCATTGGGTCAAAACGCTAACAACACCTTCCCCACGCGGACTTCCACAGTTCAAGAAGATGGTTCACCACTGTCCACTGCTTGAAGACTATGAATGTTTGCTTTGCAAGCAACACCCACATCTTGCGAAAGAATAAATAAGAACAAAATTATGATTGAATTACAAGTGGTAAATTGGTAAATTGGCAAATTGCCTGATGTATGCTGATTTAGTGAAAATAATTGATGCTTTGTGAGAGCACAGATTTTCAAGCTGAGGTCTATGAGAGAATTAGATCATCCAGTACCATTCTGTCTGATAAACCAAGAGCTTGGATTCTGTATTTATTAAATCACATGCATTTTTTCATTCAACAGCTACTGAAATAAAACAAAAATATCTGAAGTGGTGTTAAAATTGTATCAGAGATAGTAGGAACTGCAGATGCTGGAGAATCTGAGATAACAAGGTGCAGAGCTGGATGAACACAGCAGGCCGAGCAGCATCATAGGCTCCTATGATGCTGCTCGGCCTGAAGTGTTCATCCAGCTCTACACCTTGTTGTATCTGAAGTGGTGATGCTATTTTCCATTGAGAAGCTGACACTGTCTTTTGGAGACTAGGATGGAGTCACTGGGATATTATCAATAATTGTAGAAGGTCCCTGAGGTGCCAGTAATTGCAGGGGCCCTGAAATTTGCAAATCTGAAATGTTTACTTTAGACATGGGTATTCATATGTATTTACACTTTCATTCTAGGGCTCTGGAGTCGTCAAAGCTGGTTTTGCAGGAGATCAGATTCCAAAGTACTGCTTCCCCAATTAGTAAGTACTGATTTATTATAAAATATATACTTTAAAAAATGGTACTGGAGTCCTGTGACGTATGAACATTGCACAGTATAAAGTAGGAAGTGCCAATTCTGCACAAGCCACATTTTTCATATTCTAACCTCCATTTGTGTTGCCAAATCTGGAAAATCCATCACTTGATTCTCAACCAGCTCAATGTTAAGCTTTATAAGATTTTGTAGCGATAACATTGTTACTACATCACATGCAAACAGAATTGTGGGCAAAAGTAATCTTTATGAGCTTTGACTTTGTGTTTGGGAAGTGTTATTGTTAAAATGTAATTTATTGCTTCTGGTTTTGTAGGAAAATGCTGTACAGGTGAAGTTCATGCTAATAATGATTCTCACCTCAGAACTCCCGCAGTGACTCAATTTGCCAAAATGCCATTCTGACAGTGCCTCTGTATCAAAAAAGGAAATGGATTGGTCAATGTCCCTGATCCTGCTAATTAGCCATTGAACCCTCTGAAACTTAATGTTAGGGGAGACAAGGTTCAGTATTGACTCTGCTGTCCTCCATTGTCAAATGGCCTAGCGACTAAAGGTTCTGACTGACGTCTGAGGAAAAGTCACTTGATTGGGATATTGCAGTCAATCATGTGTTTGGCTTTTTCTGCAACCAGTCGTGGAGGAAAGCAGATTAAACTTGGTGAGTTGACTGGAGAGTTAATCTCAGAAGTTGTAAAATTCAGTTTATTGGGTGCAGGAATATCAAAATACCTGTAGTAGAAATAATTTTTGTGTATGCTGAGATACCAAAATCACAGTAGTTGAAATTACCCAGCTATTGCAAACAAATGTGTTAAGTATTTTCATAGTACCTTCAGATTTACCCTCCATGTGAGAAGTCAGCTTATTTTAATAAGATCTGGAAAAATGAATATATTTGGATATGGAGTAAGCCTCTGATCAGGAAATCTTGAGCTTTGATATTTCCAGAACATGGGCTTGGTTTTCTGCTGTTGAAAGAATGTTCCAACAATCAACATAATTATTAAGGAGAAGAATATGCTTTTGGGCTTTTTGAAGACATTTTGGTATTCATCGTAGAGTTGCAGATAGAAGTAAAACACAATTGATCAGGTCTCATGTCAGCTTTCCCTACTCCACAGTATTTATTGCTTCATTAAACTGTATCTGACAATTGTATGTTGAATCTCTTTATATTTACTTTGGGAATTTAGTTTGGATGGATTTGGTGTCCATTTGGTGTTCGAACTAATCCTGGGCAAGGAATGGATAAATCATGTGTTATAGTGGATAGTTAAGTGCCTGTTTCCAGCCATGGATGACCATTCAGTACTTATAAAACTTAGATTGAAAATTTATCAGATTGACATGTAACTGTTTCCTCAGAATATCTTGCGTAGTTTGAATGTATGGTTCAACTTTAGAAACAACCTTGTTTTGGATGGAGGAGGGAATTTGTGACTGTAGAGGATAAGAAGTTATGCATTTGACAATCTGGATGTCAGAGTTTTGACATTAATAAGCTGGGGTCCCTGTTCTAGCCTTAATGTCAACAGGGGTGTACCATTAATAATATATTTACTTTTAACTTGCCCTGTGTACACATTACCAGAAAATATGAACTTCTACACTGCGAGTGTCTACTAGACTGTAGGTGGGAATATTTATTACAATTTGCTTGACAGTCTATCATGCAAAGCAGTTCCTGTGAATTCGCAAACATCACTTTCCTTCTCGAGCAAAGAGGAAGTGTGTGCTGTCTCACAGAATTTAGTAAATATAAAAAGTGGAAACTGTCCTCAACAGTTTGTTCATAATGATAATACAGCACTGCTGAAGCCTATCCAATTAGTCCCTTTGCCTGCTACCCTCCAAATATTTCCCCTTCAGTCTCTTTTGGGAATTACTAATAAATCTGCTTCCAACATAAGTTCAAGTACATACATTTCAGCGTGCAACATTTTGCTGTAGAAATATATTTTTCCTCATCTAGATTCTGATTCCTTTGCCTGTACCTTAAATCTATGTCCTCTGGGAGACATGGCATGGCAAAGAATGCAACTCGGCATGTAGTGCACTATCAGCAAAATAGTCATAACTACAGGATGGGCCACTTTTGTCTAGCATGGAGAAGGCTAAGGGGTGATTAACTAATCTTTAGTTCTGAAGTAATTGATAGAAGAAGTGTAAGTCAGATGTCTTCACTTTTGGGGAGACCAACACTAGCCAGAAATCTGTTGCATAGCATTCCGTCACTCTTAGACTGAACCAGACTGTTTGCAACCTCAGTATCATAGTTGACTCTGACTCAAATACGCAGTCGGTCCTTCTATGAGGGCTACCTGCTTCCCTCAAATCTTTCTATTCTGAACTCTTCACCCATGCCTTTGTTGCCACCAGTTTTGACTGTTCCAATGCAATTCTGGCCTGCATCCCACATTGTAATTCTTCCTGCCAACACCAACTGTGAACTTGGGAAGTTATTCAAAATTCTCCTGCTCATGTCTTAACTTGCACGAAACCTCATCCACTTATTACCCCTGAGCTTACTGACTACACTGCATCCAGGGTAAACAAAATCATGATTTTGAAATTTTCATCTTTGCCATCAAGCCTCGCCTCCTCCTCATCTCTGTAATCTGTCTGCACTACAAGCCTTTGAGATATTTGCACTCCTTTAATTGTGATCTGTTGATCATTCCCAAATTTAATTGCTGTACTATCAGTGGCTGTGCCTTCAACTTCCTGGACCTCAGGCTCTGCAATTTCTCCCTAAAGAACTCCATCTCTCTTCCCCATTTTTCTCCTTTAAGGTACTCCTTAAAATGTACTTCTTTAACCAAGCATTTTGTCATATCATTATACGACTCAGTGACATCATTGTTTTACAATGTGAAGCACCTTGAGATATTTTAGCATGTTGAAAGAGCTATTTAAAAAAAAGTACTGTTATTGTGCTGTTCTATTCTATATAGTACTATTACGCTATGAAAGTAAAGATAAAACAATTTTCAATCCAAGTGATTCCAAAATATTTTTTTCAGTGTGGGACGGCCTAAGCATGTACGTGTTATGGCTGGTGCTCTGGAGGGAGATATTTTCATTGGACCAAAAGCAGAGGTAATCTTACATTTAATTGGCTTAGAAAATATATGTTCCACTACAGTTTTGATTGAATGTTCCGTTTTCTGATGTTTTCTGTCTGTGTCAAGGAACATTCTTCCTTAGAATCACAGAATTGGCCCAAATAGTCTGTGCCAGCTCTCCCGACGATCATCCCATTGAATGTTATCCTCCTGCTTTCTCCCCTGTTACCTTGCACGTTGTTCGTTTTCAGTAGATTTTAGAATGATCCCCAAGGATAGAAAGGGAGCAAACATAACCCTGCTATTTACAAAAGGAGGAGGGAGAAAATGGGTAAGTTTAGGCCAGTTAGTCCAACATCGGTAAGGCAATGTTAAAATGAATTATTAGTGAGAAGTGATAACAGGACACTTAAGAAGCATGAAATGATAGGGCAAAGAAAACGGATTTTTGAAAGAAAAACCCACGTTTGGCAAATTTTCTTTTAAGGTGGTAGTTAGGAGGATACGTGGTAGTAAAGAGCATTGATGAGGAGGAACCAGTGAATGTGGTGTATTGCATTTTCTAAAAACATTTCGATAAGGTATTACATAAAAAGATATTGCACATATTTAGCACTCATGTGACTTGGGTAATATATCATGAATTGAGAATTGGTGAACAGGCAGAAAACAAAGTAGAAATAAAGGGGTCATTTTTGGGTTGGCAGGCTGCAACAAGAGTTCAGCATTCAGAGGGACTTGGGCTCTTTCTACCTGAAAGTCAGTTAACATGCAGGTATAGCAAGCATTTCAGAAAGCAAAGGGCTTTTTAGCCTTCATTAGGAAGGAATTGAAGTTATGGGAACAAGTGGGTAGTTGGGATAAGATCACTATGTTTGTGAATCATCACAAGTTCACAGATTGGTTACATTGCAAACGGAGGTCATTTGCCTGTCATATTTGTGCTGGCTCTCCAAAGGAGCTGTTCACCTAATACTACTCCTTCTACCTTCCCCACCCCACCATAGTCCAGAACATTTTAAACATCAACATGCTTGAGTTGGGTCAAATAATCTGTTTCCACAAAATGCTATATGATTTAAATATAAACTGAAGCTCCTAAAAAGTATTGGGCCTAAAGGTCATATCCGTATTATATGATGTGAGTATAAGCATGATTGAATTGTTTACAAAATAACAAAATAATGTGTGGAGAATTAAAAGGATATAATTTCAATGAAGGAATCTGTTGAAAACAACAAAGCACGAAAGCAAAGCTTGAGAAATTTGAAAAAAACAATTTAGGATGGTAACAAACTGGAACATCAGTAAGGTATATTTGTGTAATTACTACGTTTTTCTGCCAACCGGATTTTTTCAATTTTGATGGCAGATTATTTGAGCAACATTTTACTATGATAAATCTCATTGTGTTTTGATTGATTAGGAGCACAGGGGCCTGTTAACTATCAGGTATCCAATGGAACATGGAATTGTAAAAGACTGGAACGACATGGAACGGATTTGGCAGTACGTGTATTCCAAAGACCAACTCCAGACTTTCTCTGAAGAGGTGAGTTGAATGCTTTCAGTATAAAATGTTTGGACTCTTGACAAGATTATACTATCACCATATTTACTTTTATACCCTTGCTCCTTATGGTATCTGGATTTGTGACCCGTGAATCTGTGTGCTCATGAGGGTGGCCCCAGAGCCAATTTTCTTTTTTCTCCTCATTGACAAGCCTTGACAGGTGTGGTCGATAGGGAATTTCAATTGAAGTGCTTTCCGCAGTTTTGCAGGAGGTCTGTGCCCCAATCTCCCGCAGATAACAAGGATTTGGTGCATATACTTTAAAAAAATTAAACCCAAAGTGTATTCACATACACTGTGCAGGCAGTAAAAATTGTAAAGAAATGCAAATGAAACTTATTTCAAAGGTCTTAACTCTCAGTATTTCTGGCACAAAGTAAAATGTTTGATTGTCCAATTCAATGCAATTTATTTTTATTTGGTTTGCTTTCATTTTCAAAGTGTTTTAGAGCTTTACACATTGGAGGCTCGTGTTTTTAATTCAGAAATCTGGGTGCTAAGGTGAACAGAATCATGTATAGCTTTAAATTTATTTATTTATACATTGTGTGTGTTATTTATACATTGTTTTAGTTTCATTTAGATTAGTTCTGTGAATGGTCCAAAGTGTCTGGAGTTTGTTAATCCATGCGTTTCAATTAGGGTTTACAGCCTTTGAGTAGAATTTGAGGTGAACAGCTCTGTCTATTAGAAACAAGGGTAGAAGAGAGAAATAAAACTGTTGTTGCCCAGAATCAAGGTAACTTCATGGTCAGTAAGTATTTGCAGATTCAATCAGAGGGAAAGGTTACTGTTAGTTTAGCAGTCCCCAAAAATAGTCAGGTATTGGAAAAGATTCCTCAGTTGCTTAGAAAAAAACTCCACACCAGAAAAGTTATGGATGCTGAGGGTATGGAAAATCCATTTGTATTATTCCCTGAAACTGTTTAGAAATCAGTAAGAAGAAGCTTCCAGAAACCAATTGCAACTGTGTCAAGAAAACAAGGAAGTTCAAAATGGAGACAGGAAATCCTTTGCTGAGCTTTTAGTGTCTGTAAGGTTATTGTTGAGAATAAGAGCATTGAATTTTTATTTCTAATATTTGTAGTAAGACACTTTCAAATAGTTCTTGTAGGGTGTAAAATAGTTTGTTTTTCCTTTTGTGTGTAATATAGATTGATGTTCTTTTGTTAAAAGTACATTAGCAGTCTTTTGTGAATATGTTCAGTGACCGACCACCACAGTAAACAAATAACAAAATTAAAATTTCTGGCCTTTCAAACCAGGTTTCACTTCAGGATCTGATTTTCAGTATTACCATCAGTTGGGTGTCATAACAATATAAATACAAGTATTTGTTTTCTTCTCAGCTTATCTTTTTTGTGCTATTAAGCATGGCACAGCAAAATATTTATTTTCTCATTTTCTTTCCTGAAGAAGTTAACTTCTTGCTGGGAAGTGGTGCCATGAGCACTTTGGCAGCTAACCCAAGTGGCCGCACTTTCATATATTAGCCTAAACAATAACTGTTGGCAGGGCTTTCAGATTTGTGCATACCAAAGCTAAGTCCTTGCCTCTACTGAACACATGGTTTAGATAGCAATTGGGTTTGGTGCTTTCTCTAGCTTCTGAATTTTTTTGGGATAAAATAATTTCAGCCCCTCTGTCTCCCTTTTTATTAACCCAATCTATTGCTAATGCTCCTTGCATGCTTGCTTACTTTCTTTCAGTCACATTCCAACCACCTGTTTCCTTTTAGCTGCACCCTCCCTCCCACTGCTTGCACTTACCCAACGAAGTGAACCATTTGGAGTCTGCTGATGAGTCTGAGAAGTCAGTTCCTGCTTGCTTGAAAAAAAAGAATGAGGGAGCCTATATTTAAAGTGATGTTCAAAGGATGATGTGAGAAAAACCTCTTCACACATCAAGAAGTTAGGATATGGAATCCACTGCCTGAAAATGTTGTGGAGGCAGGTTCAATTGAGGCATTCTAGAGGGTGTTGGCTGATTATTTGAATAGAACTGGTGTGAAGAGCAAAGGCAGGAGATTGACACTTGGTTATAGAACCAGTGCAGGCACGATAGGCCAAAAGGTCTCCTTCTGCTCCATAACAATTCTGTGATTCTGTGTCCTCCATTTGGTTCGTTGTCCAAATATTCCAGCCAAAAACCAGAACCTAACGATTTAAAGAATAGAAACTACATCTCTGCTGGAGCTGTAGATTGGATTATTGCCTTGTTTTTAGTTGTACAGGTATGCATTTTCAAAGTAGGATCAAATTGCTGCAGATGCTGGAATCTGTACTGACAGTCACAAATGCTGGAGATCACAGCAAGTCAGACAGTATCCATGGAGGGAGAGCAAGCTAATGTTTTGAATCACGTTAGCTTGCTCTGTCCATGGATGCTGTCTGATTCACTGTGATCTCCAGCATTTGTTGTTTTCAATATGCATTTTTAAATATTTGTTTTGTGTGCAAATTTACTGGAACTAGAATTATACGATGGTTACAACACAGAAAGAGGCCACAACTTGTCTTGACTGTGCAGGCTCTCTGCATGAGCAACTTGGATAGTCCCATTCCTCCGCCCATCCCCATTGTTCTGTAATTATCCATTAATTCTTTTCAGATAATTATCCAATTCCTTTTGAATCTGCTTTCACCACCACTCAGACTATCCATTCCAAATTTTAACCACAGACTATATTAAAAATTTATGCTTGTGTGGTTTCTTTGTATTTTTGCCATTCTCCTTTAAACCTATTTCCTCTGATTCGTGATCCTACTATCAACAGGAACCGTTTCTGTAATAAAAGCAAAATACCACAGATGATGAAAATCTAAAATAAAAGTAGAAAACGCTGGAGAAACTCAGCAGGCCTGGCAGCATCTGTGGAGAGAGAAACTTAGCTAACATTTTGAGTTCAAAAATACTCTTGTTCGGAACAGTTTGAAGCATTAAGTCCATTTCTCTCTCCACAGATACTGTCAAACCTGCTGAATTTCTGTTGCACTTCCTGTTTTTATTTCAGACCTCCAGCATTTGCAGTACTTTTGCTTTTATTCATTATCCCAAAGCCATTGTCTTGCATCTTTTCTGCATCCTGTCCACATCCTTACTGAAGTATAGGGCCCAGCATTGTACACAGCCCGCCAGTTGAACTAAATGTGGTGATTTGTAAAAGTTTATTTTAACTTCCTTAGCTTTGTATATAGAAAGTGCAGAATCATGTGTGCCTTATTAGTTACTTCTTTCATCCGCATGCCACCTTCAATGATCTGTATGCAAAGAATTGTATTGTTAACATTACCTGGTTCTTCCTACTAAAATGTATCTCTTCACACTTCTCTGCATTAAATATAAACTGCCATGTGTCCACCCGTTCCACCAAGTTATCCATGTCCTCATAAATTTAATCATTACGGTTGTCATACTTCTAACTTTTATGACATCTGTTATATTTTGGAGTTGTGCCCTACGCACCCAAATCTAGTTCATTAGTATAGAGGTTATTAGTCTATCACTAGTATATCAAGAAAAGCATGGTCCCAATACCAATTTCACCGTGTTATTTTCTCCAGTCCAAAAAACAAATGTTGGATAGTACAGTAGGAGCTGTAACTCCAATAAAGAATTATTTTTTATTTGAAATCCTGCAATTAGTCTTTTCACAGAAATAAAACCTGCTTCAACGTTAGATTTAGAACAGTGGTTTCATAAGACATTCAACATGTGATTTTGTTTTTCTCTCAAGGGCAAATGCTGGCCTAGCCAGTGATGCCTACATCCCATGAACAAATAAATAAAGAAAAAGAATATGAATGTCAATTAATCTTCCACTTTTAATAATTGGCTAAGACGGAATGTTATTTTACTAGTGGTAATCATTCACTGTTTTGCTAAACGTGTTCTGAAGCATCTACTGTTAATAACCACTGAAGAGTATCCTCCCACCTGCAATGCAATTTTCTGCTTGGCAGTTTATGTTAACCATAATGCCTGTTCAGTCACATCTTTGTTTTCTTTGTATAATTGTTCAATGTCTTAAAAAGCTACGTGGTCAGCATGATTTTTCTTGCCTTACAAACTATGACACATGAACTGTATTTTGCCAATAAGCTTACCCTGATGGTTGGGTTTTCTTCCAATTGAAAAAAAATGCCTTTAAAATAAAAATTAGATTACATGGATTTTGTTGAAAATTCTTGCAATTTTTTAATTGAATCATCAGTCAACATTGTTTTGGCAGTTTGAATCATGCTACATTTATAGAGCATGTGAGAAGCTACTTTGTTAATTGAAAGGGCAATGACATGTACTTTATGTTCTCTCGTTCTCAGCATCCTGTACTCCTCACAGAAGCTCCTTTGAATCCAAGGAAAAACCGTGAACGTGCTGCTGAGGTTTTCTTTGAGACTTTCAATGTCCCTGCTCTGTTCATCTCAATGCAGGCAGTACTTAGTCTGTTAGTATTTCATATTCAGAAATGTACAAATCATTACAGTGAAATTTTTTCTGTTCTTTATTTGCCTGTTCTATCACCAAGCCAAAGGAATTTTTCCAGTGCCTGTACAGACACTTCTGTCTCCCATTACTTTTTGTCTTTTTAAATAAGGTGTGAGCATCTAAACAGTTTCTGAAACATTCTTGTAGAATACAAACAGGTTTTAGCTTATCTGAGAGGGATTGAGCCCCATATTGGTGGTTGATTTGATTCTTCTGAAAACTGCAACCAGGGATTCCCTGTGTCTTTTCTATGCCAGCTAATACATTAAGAGAAACCCAATCTGACTTAGATCACAGAGATTATATTTCTCTCCTTATTTTACTTGTCTCAATCTTGCCAGTTTTTCTCCTCTACTCCTCTTCTGAAGCCACAGTCTAGGGCTGTGAAGGTTAGGTGGATTGGCTGTGTTGAATTGCCCGTAGTGTCCAGGGATGTGCAGGCAGGGAGGATTAGCCATAGGTAGTGGGGTGTGATGATCTTCGGAGGATCAGTGTGTAATTGATTGTCTGAATAGCCTGCTTCCACACTGTAGGGATTCTATGATCTTATGAAGAGATCTTTTGTACAGTCAATGGTTATGATCTGGAACTTACTGTTATGTCAATGGTGGAAGTGAAGATGATCAATGATTTTGAAAGGAAATTGGACGGACACTTGAGGGCAATAAATTTGCAGGGCTATGGGGGGTAGAGGAGGGAAACAGGACTAACTGGATTGCTGTGCAAAGAGCCAGTACGGACTCAGTGGGCTAAATGGCCTCCATCTGTACCATAATGACAATGAAATGACACCCCATGTTTCCAAGTGATTCTAAACATTAAACCAAGAGGGAATGAAGTAGAAGGGTCCACTTTCTACTCTGATTACGTTTATTGAAGGTCCTAAAAAGATTTTTTAAATATATATGAGCAAATTTGTTTCAGCCCGTACGATTTGGTAACTATCTTTTGTTTACTCAAATATTGACACGTGGTTTGCTTTCCAATGGTTTCCTTTTCTCCGCTTTTCTGAAGGTATGCCACAGGTAGAACTACAGGTGTGGTGTTAGATTCAGGCGACGGAGTCACACATGCTGTACCTATCTACGAAGGATTTGCTATGCCGCATTCCATCATGAGGATTGACATTGCAGGACGTGATGTCTCTCGCTATTTACGTCTGTTCCTTAGAAAGGAAGGATATGATTTTCATACATCATCAGAATTTGAGATTGTGAAAACAATCAAAGAGGTAGAATCTATTATAATAAATTGATACAGTTTTACTTCTAATTTGCTTGGAGAAATATATTCTCAGTTTGTAATTTAAAATACAAATGTGTGTGTTTTATTTACCTTAATCATTGCAAAGATTATCTTCACTTTTTAAAAATTAAGTATGTATTATGATGTGGCATGTACAAAATAATAAGTTTATCTGGCTTTTTCTCAGAAGGCAGTAGGTAGGTCTGACTGTCAGGGTTGTATGCAGATCCTGACCCTACATGGACAGGCAACAAACTGAGCAGTAATCTTCCCAGAAACAGCTTAATTGGGCATCAATGGGTCCGAAGCCCAGTTAAGGACCACAGGTTGGCCATACCATACTGCCAACCCGACCAGAGGCCTGGCTGTTGTGCTGCTTTTGCAGCTGAGAGAGATGGCTGTTGCTGAGATTGCAGGAGACTAAGATTTGAGGTACCCTTGCAGAAATATTTTCTTTCTCTGCCAGGACCAAACAGGCAGGTGACAGAAATTGGAAGAATAAACTATCTGTAGGACCTCTGACCTCAGTGGCTCTGTCCTGGGAATCTGCCTCCTTAAAGATAGAGAACTCCCCATGTGGTCCAGGCTACTGTACCTACTGACAATGTGCCAGCAGCCTCTCAAAATGTCCCTTTGGATGTCTTTCCCGGAGTTAATTGTATAAATTAGCTGCCCTCCAGTGGATGGAAAGCCACTACTGGCTCAATAGTCAGACTGCATTCTAAGTCATTCCATCGCAGCTCCTGGTCATTTTACTCATCGTCTCAATCCTCATAGTCTGCTACTTGGGATGAGGGCTGCTGAGAAAGCTTCACCTTATGATGTTGATCTCACCATAATCTCAAGGGGTATGATAGTATTGCTTGTATTACTAGACTAGTGATCTAGAGGCCTGGACTAATGGTCCAATGACACGAATTCAAGGTCCACCACAGACAGAAGCAGGGACAGAAATCATGGGCCTTCATGGTATTTCAGATCCAGGCCCGCAAATGGAGCATAGAGATCCTGCCCCCCTGACCTGAGTGAGCACAGTCTGCTCCCGAGAGTTTGGGCTCCAGATGTACTCCAATGTCCCAGATCCTGACCATGATAACTATGGAATTTAAATTCAGTTAATAAAGTAAATGTGGGATTAAAAGAAAATCTCATAAATCTACTGGATTGTCATAAAAGCCTGCCAGGTTCACGATTGTTCTTGATTAATCTGAATTATATATGACTCAAGATACACAGCACGGAGGCTGGCTCTTAATATCCCTCTGAATTGACCTAGCAAGCCATTTACTTACAGCGGGACAAGCAGTAAGTGCTGGATTTAACTGAATAAAAAGTGTGAATTCTTGGTTAAAAGGTAGTCTGACAGCGCCAATCCAGATAAGATTGTTCTAAGTTCACCTCTCGACTGTTACACAGACAGTCTTGAATTCAGTTATCATGTTAAAGAATATCTCACTATAATTGTCTGCTTATTTTTAAAGAAGAGTTCAAAATTATTATTTTAATTTTTAATATGCATTTAGCCTTTCTGGGAAACCACCTGGCGATTTGTCTTTGTGTTTTATAGCGTGCCTGTTACCTGTCAATAAACCCACAAAAAGATGAAACCCTGGAGACGGAGAAAGCTCAGTACATTCTGCCTGATGGAAGCACAATTGAAGTAAGGGAGCAATCTCAGTTTGTGCATGGTTACTAATGCTGCTTGCTCAAGTTAAGTCATATCAAATGGACAAAAAGATTCTTTTTCTTTTTTATTTATTGTTGTCACGTGTACAAGATACAGTGAAAAGTGTTGTATTGCGAGCGATACAGGCAGATCGTACCATATGAAGTGCATCAACATAGCAGAACAGAATGTAGAATACAATGTTAAAGGCACAGAGAAGGTACAGAGAGAGGGAGATCAACATTAACATTTGAGAGGTCCATTCAAAAGTTTGATAACAGCGGAGAAGAAGCTGTTCTTGAATCTGGTTGTACATATTTTCAAACTTTTATATCTTCTACCCAATTGAAGAGGGTGGAAGAGAGTATAACCAAGGTGGGTTGCATCTTTGATTATGTTGCTTGCTTTCCCAGGGCAGCGAGAAGTATGGATGGAGTCGGTGGATGGGAGGCTGGTTTGCATGATGGTCGTGCTGTGTTCACGACCCTCTGTAGTTTGTCGTGGTCTTGGGAAGAGCAGTTGCCGTACCACGTTGTTTTGCATCCACATAGGATACTTTCTATGGTGCATCTGTAAAAGTTGATAAGAGTCATTGTGGACATGCTGAATTTCATTAACTTAAGTTTTAAAATTAATATAAACAAATAATTTAATAATTGACCTAAAAAACATTTGATTATTTTTTGGTTTAGTTTAATGCATTCTCTACTAAGTTTATTTTCTCGTTATTCAAAATATCATTTCAAACCACAGCACAATTGACAACTGATTGTCTTTTCTCACCTTTGACCATCACTAAGTTAGTCATTTCACACATATATAATACATATAAACACATGGCTGTCATAGTGCTCAGGTTCCTGTATATATAGAACCTTAAAAACAATAGTTTCCAAGCTTCTTTGGCTCCATAATTAAATGCCAAAGAGCATTGCAAATTAAGTTTAAATTCATGTTCCCATTATTTTGCAACTGTCTTAAGTTATTGATGCTAATGATTCTATGTGTTCTGAATTCCCAGGCCCATAAAATACAAATTAGACAGAGAAACAATTAAAAAATATAGGCACAAACAAAACTGAGTTGTACAGAGTCTGTGGCCACATTGTCAGGGCCTGCTGGCTGTGCTTAGCACATTTCTGCTTTAAAACCTCCTCGAGTTGAACAACAGATATGCTTCTACAAGTGCAATCAATTTTTGAGTGTACTTGTGTTTCGGATATATTAAATAGTGACGTAGATAACAAGATTCTGGCCAGAGTAGATGCCTGGACAAATGTTTAATCTGGTTTATTCTTTTCCAGTTTGGTGTCCTGTGAAAACCATAACATTCACAGTCAATTTCTCACCCTCTGCAGATTGGACCTGCACGATTCCGTGCTCCAGAACTGCTCTTTCGACCTGACTTGATTGGTGAAGAGTGCGAAGGAATCCATGAAGTCTTAGTCTTTGCAATCCAGAAATCTGACATGGATCTGAGGCGAACGCTTTTCTCTAACATTGTGCTGTCAGGAGGATCAACTTTATTCAAAGGTACCCATTTATTTTGTTAACAAGCTAGGATGGTCATACTTGTATAATGTTAACCTTGTCTTGTACAAGGTGATCTATACTGATTTACCTCCCTATGTTAAAATGCTGCAGCATCTCAACATCATTTGCAGGCTTCAGGTCATTTATTCATCCAGCTGTATTTATTGAAGGCATTTGCTCCAGATCAGGGGCAGGAAGGTGGCCTCTACCTTGCCTCTGATCCTCGATACCCCTTTCCCCATGATCCCCATGCTGCGAGAAGTGAATGGAAGGATCTTCTTGCCATTGGATCTGTTGAAGTATAGGCCGTTGATCTTCAGGATCTAGATGTTGTGGAGGCCCACAGCTTTTGGTGAACCAAGACATCTCTGCCAAGCCTATGATAGGCCGACAAATTCACTGGTCAGCTCTTAAAAAGCCCGATTGGTGTGTGATATAGAAAGTAATTTAGCACCTAATGCGCCCACCCTGTTGTTACAATCTGCTGAGGTAGTGCGTCGTAAATCGAGCCCTGCTATTCCCAGACCCATACCAAAGGTCAATGTTTTCTTTAAGGTATGCACAGTAACCCACTTTATCTGACATTCAGACCGAGTTGATAGAAAGCATGCATTAGGTTTTAGTATTAAGCAAGAATTACTATTTGTTTTAAGTAATCAGACTATAGCTACTGGTAAACAGATATAAACTATTGGCATATAACTACTATTAAAACTCAAACCCAAATAAACTTCCTCTTGCGCACACGCATTCACACACACACAAACAAGTAGGGAAAATGTATTATTTACAGAGGTGGACAAAGAAACCTGTATAGTTATCTCAATAGTTTTTGCTTCGTGATTCTGATGTTGGGGTGATCCTACTTTCACTGTCCAGGCCCTTGGTGTTCAATTTTCTTTCTCTGGAGGCTTGTACTGATTTGTAAGAGTTACAGATCAACTGATTCACTTGGGATTTGTCTCAGATTTATCAATTCAAAAGTCACAGCTCACAGCAACTGCTGCACGAAAGATAGTTGATTTTCTTCAAGGTCAAATTGAGTTTTCTTTTGCTGCAGTGAACAGACAAGTTCTGCTGGGGAGAATAGCTGTACACACCTTTGTGCCTTTCTCTCTCCCTGTGTCTGTGTCTCTGTAACTTGTTTCCAGACCAATCTGCTGAATTAGCTGAGAACTAATCAGCTCAACTTGTAAACAACTTCTCATTTCCTGGTTGTCTGCACATTGTAGGAATCCCTTGCCACAAAAATAGTGTTCACAATAGGTCTCAAGTTCATTGTTATGAAATTATGCAACCTTCCTGGTAAATCCTGTTTTTAAAACCAATTCTTTCTCACTGTAGACTATTGTTTTTAAAGATGCAGAAAATGTAAAAATACACTGTCCTTACACAATACCTGTTTTGTAAAAGGGAAAATCCTCGCACTTAGTTAGAATTGCATGTATGAAAGTCTTAAAGAGTTGTTAGTGGTGACCATGCTGTTCTATTGCTGAGTTTTTGAAAAATCTTAGGCTCTGCATAACTGTGGGCAGAATCCCGGTTAACAGGGAACAGTTCATAAAGACTCAACGAAATGACTGGGTGCCAGTTATAATGCCCAGCAGGCTTATTCTTTGGGTCTGCTCCTAGCTGCTCATGAGCCAGCTAGTTGTGCTGTGCTGGTGGAGTTGGTGTTTATTGCTGATGAAAATGCAAGTGAGACCCACAACAGCATGAGTTAGGTCAGAAGCACATCACCACCAAAGAATTGCAGGGCGCACCTAATAGAACCCGAGCATTGAGAGGTAGCCAGTGTGGAAAAAAAAAATTAGCTCTGGTAACTATTCAAAGCTCCCTACATTTGGTAATCCCTTTCTTCTGGTTTCTTCAGAATGTTTATTTTTGCCTCTAAAGAATGACAAAAAAACAACAGTGCCCAATGAAAACCCTCAGTTATGCTGCCCACTGTCCTCAGCACTAATTGAGAGGAAACAGAATTCAATAGCTCTCGTGAAATAAGGATCTAATTATATGTATCCACAAATGTTCGGAGTGTTCAATGGTTGAAGATGATAACTCTCTCTAGTTTTTAAAAAAGTTCTTTTTAAACTTATTTTTGTTGGAGATCAGGTACAAATTCCAAAAAAAACTTCTATTCAATCTGTTTGGACATTTTATGACACACCTTCAGGACAGGTGGGACTTGAGTGAAGGTCATCTGCCGAGAAGTAGAGACACTATTACTGCGTCACAAAACCCCTGAATTTGTGAAAGCTTGCATTTTAAAGGCTTCCTTCAATACCCTTTATTAACTGCAGGTGCATGATTGCTCATTTTAGTTATTCCACTCCAGATGATAAATTAACAATATTTAATTATAATGGTAGTGTTGAAGTGATGCAAATGCCTGCTGCATTACTCAAAAGTGCAGTGTATCAAGGGCATTCGTTATAGCAGGATTTAGAATTAAATAGATTTAGATTTAATGTAAGCCTGAAAATCCTGCTGACAATGTTAAAGGAAGAAAACTCTTTGCATTTATCTTATATTTTAACATCTCTGTAAATCCATTTGTTTTATGAATTAACACATTGGTCGGAATGGTTTGTTGTAGGTTATCAAGCAGTAGTGGTGGCTTTGACACAGTATAAATTAGAGGTGCATGTAAAATGAATAATGCAGCAATAATGGGTGACCTCAATTTACAAATGGTTTGGATAAATCTAATCAGTAGTTTGAATGAATTCTTGGAGGCTGCACAAGATGGGCTTTTGGAGCAATATGTTGAGAAACCAACTAGAGATCTGGCTATAATAGATTAATTATTCTGTAATGAGACGGAGCTAATTAATAACCTTACTGTAAGGAAACTTTTAGGAAAGAGTGACCATAATATGATAGAATGTTACATTAATTTTGAAAGTTATTTTGCTCATTCTGA